AAATTTTATAGACTCGGTGCTGATCGAGGTATTTTGAATTTATTAACTAACGTGGCATTTTATTATCACCATTAAGAACATAAATTTGGTTTGGAGAGGACTTAAAGTCATTAAGTAAAAATAACACACCTTATTTAACAGAATAGTCAGGCACCCATCATCAGTTGTCAACAGATACATGTACGTAGTGGGACATTGTATTCAGGTAGTAATTATCTAGCTTGTTAATTATATTTAAACTAACAGTCTGGTCTTATAGACACGCTTTGTTCCTGTTTAACCTAACATTCTAATCTTATAGACATATTTTTCCCTGTTGCACCCAACAGTCTATTTTCATAGACTTATTATATCCCAGTCGTAATTTGATTTGCCATACTATATGTTTGAATTTTGTTGTGTTCATAAAAATTTAAGAAAAAAAATAAAATTATGCAATATGGTTAAAAATATATTTATTCAAATTAATGAAATGGATTGAACAGTAGGCCTAAATGTCTATGACCGTTCTCTCCATTACAATATGTACAGACTGGACGAGTGATCTAATTCCATAAAGCTACATGATTTGATTGCGTACCGATCTGTATCAGTATATACATGTACACACACGTATCAAAAAATGATGATACTCTAATTTCAAGAGGTTGTTTTTAGCTCACCTCAACGAAGCTGGGAGAGCTTATGAGATACCGTCGGCGTCGCTGTCCCAGGTTAAAGTTTTTCGGTGCAATTTTCTCTTTTTAAAGCACTTCTATGCTCTACATGTGTCAGAGATGCATGAAGGATGCTTTTAGTGTGTTTCGTTTTACCAGCCAAGATTTCAGATGCTGCAATTTCAGCAAAGGACTGACCAGATTAATGTTTTTGGAGCAGGTTAATGTTACGTGTTTGGTGCAGGTCTCATTTCCAAGTAACTACTGTATAAGCCTATTTTGACCAGACTTGTATAACTGATACATTAAAGGATGAACACTACCAAGCTGGCTTCGGATGCTGGATCTGACCTACATTTTCTGGTTGAGTAAACAGGTGAAAGTTTTTTGGTGTAGGTCTTATTTCCAAGTTATTATGAGTCCTATGTTGACCAATCATGCTTGGATGATACTTCTAAGAATTACGCTACCTGTGGCTTGATTCCGATGCTAGATCTGTCTTTCATTTTCAAGATGCATTTTTTGGTGTAGGTCTCATTTCCAAGTAATTATGAGCCCTATGTTGACCGAACTTACATGGAGGATACATCTAAGGATGCACACTTTATGGACTTGTCTCGAGCTCGGATGCTGGATCTAGTACACAATTTTCTGATTATGGACCGGGTTTAAATTTTGGGTGCATGTTTTTTCGAAGAAACCATTAGGTCTTTCTAAACCAAATTTGCATGGATAATGCAACATGGGATGAATACTTTCAAACAATATTCGGATACTGAATTTGAATTACATTTTCTGGATGAATGACTAGTTTAATTGAAGTTTTGGATTCGTCTATTCTCAAGTCACTTGGGGCCCTATCGGATCAAAATTGCATAAATGTTGCATCCTTGGCATGGATGTACACTGCTATTAGTTTTATATGGGACTTTCCCTTACTTAAAGACAGCATTCGTTGAGGTGAGCTCTGTAATCTCTGTTTAACACCGTGTGAGCGTTAAAACTTGTGAAATTAAAAAAAATCCTTGCTGTGTATTTTAAGTCATTTGTGTAAATCAGCATAGAACACGACCACAAGTAGACTGCTAGCCGTTAAGGCATCCACTCTTGTAAAATTAAGCCCTTCCCTCACATGAGATTATCCTTCGGTAAAAAAAAAAACTCCGCCTTTAATTTTACAGATTGTACTTTCAACGGTTTTGGTGGTGTATTCATTCATCAGTCTGGTCTTTCATTCTCGTGTCTGGTGCCCTATAAGGCCTCCACAGAGTGTCCCCAATAATCTATTGGCTGTTGCTATTGTTCTTGATGTATTTCATGACTTGCAGACAACGTCTATCCTTTCTTTTCCTATTTTCTATTTTGTGGTGCCATATTGTTTTTAGTCACCACTTTCTTTTAGTCACTGCTAGGATCTTGTCTCAAAGTAGGCTTATGTCCGATGAACTTCAATCTTCCCCTTCCCAGTTCCTCACTGATCGGTCTCATCCTTCTCTGTAACAGGTCAGTCCGTCTTCATTTCTACACTACATGACTTTGTATACTCTAGTATACTAGTGTAAACATGCCGTGTCTTTAATGGAGGCATACCGGGTATATATCTAAAAGAAAGGTGCATTAATTGAAGTGCAACTGTAACGTTTATTAACGAAAAGCTACGACCAAAAATGTGATCATACAATGAATGCATAAAATAGTGATACCCACAAGCTAATGTTGGACGCGCAACTACAATTAATAATCTTCGGCAGAGAATAATAAAACTACAATACATGCATGCAGTACATATAATTTGACATCAACAACTAAATTATAATAATGATAAGGAATCATAGCATTTGAAAAAAGACCTACAAATAGATAACAAAAATGAACTTATGACAGATGTGCTTGACAAGTATAAAGTGAAAAATAAGTATTATGCCATACATGTACTATAGTATTTGGTATCTGAAGCTTTTCTGTCCAGCTAGCGTACGGTATGGGATATCGATGCTTTTATCTCCTTGTCAGATCTGCATTTGATCTAAGTGTGCAGTATGTAAGACTTTGGCTGGTCACCAGATTGACGACTAAATTAGGTGTAATGTGTGCATATTGTTCTCTGATTGACTCCCCTCCCAAGACCACAATGGAAATCTGGCACAACAATTCATCCATCCTCCATTATACCTATATGACATATTTGCATTATAAAGAAATGCTGTGAAAAGAATTAATAAATTCCAGCACCTTCATCTGAAATTACACGATCAAAAGGAAACAGGGCTGTACATGAAATCTGATCTTTTGTTAATTTAAACCCCGTTTGGGTATAATTTGGATGTTGAACAGGCACGGGGACTGGGTAGTCACACCAGAGATCGATATCAGATCAGTATAAACGGTGGCAGTGGACCGGTTAATATTATGTATTCTTCACAAGATAAGGTTCACAGCCAGCACCTGATTGGTACCGTAATCTAAATAATTATCTATTTAATGTTGTTAATTCTAGAAGTATAACAGATTAAAGGAAATTTATACAGGAATGATAAAGATCCAGCGATTCCAAGAGGGTAAGTATTTCAGAAAAAATGCTAATTTCATTTTAAGACGTTAAATATTGAATTCGTTGCAAAAGTTACAGGAGGCTTTTTTTGAAGTTGTAAGTTGATTTCATTTACAGTTTTCTCTCGGTTTTCAAACTTAATGAACATTTCTGTATCAGGTTTGCTACGCCGATAGTTCTTTGTTTCTGTTTTGTCTTCTTGAACTTCCAGCTTCTTTAACCGTTAGGTTTTGTTTTTTTTAATACTATAACATACAACGGCGATACATCCATTTGCAAGTACCAATTGTTATAGAGCATGGAACTTACGCTTTAAAAGTATATGATATATAATGTACATGTTGTTTTTATATAAATCCATCCTAACAAAGTCAGAGGTCAGGTGTCATCTCGTTGCCTTGGGCAGTGCGAGTTGACAGAGGACACCTGACGCTCAGAGAAGTTGAGGCGTCCTGTGTCACCTCATTGTTTTGGGACGGCACGATTTGACAGAGACACCTGGCCTTCTAAAGTTGAGGCGTCCTGTGTCACCTCATTGTTTTGGGATGGCATGAGTTCACAGAGACACCCGACTTTCTAAAGTTGAGGCGTTCTGTGACAGCTCATTGTTTTGAGGTGGCATGAATTGACAGAGACACCTGACGTTCTAAAGTTGAGGCGTCCTGTGTCACCTCATTGTTTTGGGGTAGCATGAGTTGACAGTGACACCCGACTTTCTAAAGTTGAGGCGTCCTGTGTCACCTCATTGTTTTGGGGTAGCACGAGATTTTATAGAAACAGAGACACCTGACTTTCTTAAGTCCTGTGTCATCTCATTGATTTGGGGTGGTATGAGTTGACAAAGACACCCGACTTTCTAAAGTTAAGGCGTCCTGTGTCACCTCATTGTTTTGGGTTGGCACGAGTTGACAGAGACGCCTGACCTTCTACAGTTGAAGCGTCCTGTGTCATCTCATTGTTTTTGGGTCGCACGAGTTGACAGAGACACCCGACTTCCTAAAGTTAAGGCGTCCTGGGTCACCTCATTGTTTTGGGATGGCACGAGTTGACAGAGACACCTGACCTTCTAAAGTTGAGGCGTCCTGTGTCATCTCATTGTTTTGGGGTGGCACGAGTTGACAGAGACTCCTGATTTTCTAAAGTTGAGACTCATTTGATAGGTAACATTCTAAACGCATGGTCTCCGGTACCAGATTTATGTAGAACAAATGATTTCCTTATTTTGGGAAAGACAAAACCTTATTGATTTTATTTCCTGCAGGGAAACCTTGAAAGACGGAGTTGAGTTTCATGCTTGTATATTAAAAGATATATGATTTCCTGATAGTCGATATCCATGCGTGGACGTTTCCAATAGGCCTTTTGTTATGAGATTTATTAACTATATATTTTTAATTTCTATATGAAGTGTTGTTCTTTCATAATACACAAGTAAATCACTAGGTCGAAATCAATTAATACTGATGTGAACCTCGTGTTTTTCCAAGTATTTAAAAAGTCTTTGATTTTCCAGATACTTTACTTTATTGATAACCCCAGCAGCGCTATCGTCCTTTATGCCTAAATGTGGCACCTCATTCCCTGGAGAGCCCAAGTAGTCTCAGCTCGTGCTATGTTTAAAACTGACAGGTTTTACACTGATTTGTCGAGAAAAAAGTTAATCTTTTGGTCTGATTGTTTGTGCTTTTAATTCGCTTGTATTAAAGGGTGCGCTGGTTGTGTATTAGCGTTATAGAATAACATTTAAGAAATGGGGTTTTGATTTATAAGTCGGCTTAACTTCTGGCCTTGTGAGATCTTAGAGAAAGTACATAAACTATTCCTAGTGATTCTCGTCAGACTGGTTGTTGTGGTGCTCACTGTTAAATGTCTCTAGTTTTTTAGTTGATACAGGTGGTACACAGAGTTATTTGCATGCCTTTTGACGCTGGGAAATCGTTAAGTTGTGCTATTTTTGACGACTTAGACTTGAAAGAACAAACATTACATTATTGATTTCGGTATTGAACATCCATGAGTTCCTCAGACACCGGCATTCGATGGTTTGACAACGTCTGTTTTTAGGGACCGCTGTAGTCTGAAAGCTGAGCCTTTATTCTTTATCAATGGGGGATACACAATTTTACCCTTTGACGACATTGTTGCGAACAATTTTCGTTTAAAGGACCCTAAGAAAGGTCTATATTGTGCAAGTGTTTGCTCAGGGACTTATCTGTAGAGAATCTTTCATTTAAACGGATATAATAATCTTTTTAAGATAGATCTAGGCGGTGCGAGTGTCAACACGGGTTTTGGACTCGTGTACACTTCTAATAAATTCCGAATAATCAACTGCTTAATATCATTGTAGTGTCTTTGTATATTAATACACGATCAGGAAATCTTTTGTGCATGGTCTGAGAAACATCATTAATGATTCAAATGGTGGAATAAATCAGATTCAATGGAATGAATTTGTAGTTCTCACGACGAGCAGCAAAATAAGTCACGCAATCTCCCGGTGAAATGAAAGGGAAAACTGGCTTAAGAAGAGGTAAGGTTCCATTGTTTGGCGAGCATGTCAGGTAGGGCGATTCTGTAGCTCCTGTAATTCCTTCTATCGTATTTTTGATCGAATTTGATTAATTTTGATAATATGTATATAAGAATTAGATGCGGCTGTATTTTTATGTTCAAAATGATGTCTTCATAATGTCCATATGGTTTGAAGGATAAGAAAATGGCATCCTAGCAACGTCTAGAAACATGAACGCATCAGTATGTTGCTCTGATTTCTCAATAGACGCTGATCTCTATCTCAGATTTAAAAGAAACGCAGATAAAGCACTCAATTTTACATAATTTGTAACTGAAAACGTGATTGTCGGTACTTTGTTGATTTGTAAGTCAGTGATTTCGGATAATATCCAACCATTAATTGCCAACACCGTCTACTCTACCATCATGTCTGTCCTCGGTATTAATTGCCATGTTCTGTTCCAAACTTACTTATACTGTGGCATATTTATTGATATGATACTTACTGGTTCTGTAGGATTTATACTGAATTTTGAATATACTAACCAATTCTCTCGAACAGATCTAGATTTTATAGGATACTTACTTGTTCCATGGATGTTTAGTATTACTGATTCTGTAAGATAAGTACTGATACTGTTGGATTCTTATTCTGTAGGATACTTCTTGATTTTATAGGATCCTTACTGATTGTGTATTATACTTAATGATTCTGTGGGATCTTTAAGTTGTTTCTTAGGATATGATTCTATTGGATACTTGCTGATTGTATAGGATACTTCAGTGATTCCTTAGGATACTGATTCTATTGGATACTAATTTTGTAGGATGCTTATTGATTTCATAGGCATCTAACTTATACTGTAAGTTTCTTACGATTCTGTATAATGCTTGTTTCTTCTATAGGATTTTTATTGATTCTATGGGATACTCACTGATTTCAGTAGATATTTTCTGATTCTGTAAGCTTTTTACCAGTTTTTGGATCTACTAGGCAACATAAGATTATAATACTTGCCCATTTTGTGCCATAGAACCCATAATTTAAAATGCAATCATTGTACCAAGGTACATTGTCAGAAAACCAATCAAATCAAGGATATAATATTCATATCTATTACTAAGTACAGAGAAAATGTTTATCTCTTTAAAATACTCAGATTTGATGGTTTGATGGAATTGTTTGTTTTATCTCAAACCTTTATTTGACCAGATGTTATATGTCGTATAACAGTTCAGGTCGGTTTTTCTTACTGCATGGAATTCAACAACGAAGCCATCATATAAAAAACCGGTATCGAGATAAAGGGCTTTAAAATATGTCTTTCTTAAAATTTCTTTTTTTATTAAGGTAAAGTACAGGTGTCAGAGACTGGAAATAGAATTCATTTACAATTATCAAAATATTTATATTTAAATACCATTTAGAGAGCTCAGAGGCTGTAATGGAAGCAGGTTCCTATAGTAAAAAAAACATTAAAAGTGAAAAATGAAGTCAATTTGCCAAATGAATCTTCATGGAAGCGATTATGGCTTCCTTACGTACATTAAATAGCTGTTTTATTACTTATCATTCCGTCCCTTTAAATGTTCAATTGCTTAGGCAAATAAAGTATGTGGTCTCTGTTTATGATTGCCTAAACACTCGGCTAGTGTGTATGCTTTGTATTTAGATAAGTAATAAAAATGAACAATGGTATCGATCTTTTTTTCTTTTTTATTAGGGCCTCCATTTCTAAATGGCTATACACAGCAATAACAATCATAAAATTTAAGATATTGTCGTGAATGCAATTATTCACTTCTTTTCAAACTTGTTCAAACACCTGATATCTGTATTCTATATGTTTACTGGTTTCAAAATGAATGAAATAAAGAGGAAACAGATTTTTGATCTTCTGCACAGTTGCTTGCTGTTTACGGAGCTTCTATAAGATACATTAAATCTTGGTTGTCTACTGGAATCTTACTCGATCAACCCAGAAAGACACTTGATCGCTCTCGGTTTACGGTTAAGCTGGAGTTTTTATAAAGTTTTAGTCTAGATTATCGGTCAAGGCACATGTACAGTAAGAAAATTATATCCACAACCAGGAAATGGTGACCTTTTCATGAAAGGAGATAAGAAATATTAAGGAACTTACTTAAAGTTGACCCTGCTTCTCCGGTGTTTTCTATTAGGACTATAGATCACCATTGTTTTAAGTTAATGTTTGGAGTGTGTTAGAAATTTTATTTTAATCACTAGTGGAGTCGGAAGTCTTGTTGATGTTTGGAAAGATGTCATTTACTTTATATAGTTATTTAGATTAACAATCAACAATTTTAAATTCAATTGTTGGCCAAGTTTATTTTGATACTTAACTTACTTTCCATATATGTTTAAAGCCACCCGCCGCATCCCCTTTCGACACCTTAAAACACGTATTTATTTATTCATTAATTTATTGAATTTAGAATACTTGGTCAATTTTGAAATGACAATGATAAAAGCGAGATTAAAATGGTTATGTTTTGTTTATATGGCTTCATTAATAACTCAAATTATTCATGAAATGCATATTAAATACGTTATGAATTGTGCTTAAGAATTATTTGTATACGAAACGGAAACAGTCTCTTGATTCAATTCGACGTTTATTCTAAATTCGAGATATCATTTATTAAATTCACAGATTTTCAATATTATTTTATATTATTTTATATTTTCAATGTATACACAAAATTAGGAAAACAAATCAACGAAGATAAAGCGTCTCATGACGTTTTATAAATTTGTCCCCCCTAGTGACTCGGTGATCAGTTCTCCCTATGGATTTAAAACTAAGTTTATTATCCTAACGCTAAACAATCTGACTAATGCATTATCTATATAGATATTTATATAATCTCACAGGAATGTCAATTTTACAGCCCCTCCAAACGGCCCAAGTGTTTAAGACGTACCCGTATGTACACTGACGGGGAGATGGATCGGGATCTCCAATAATTTGGTCTGACTTTGTGAAGTGGAAGTAGGCCATGAACTTTGATGAGATGTGTTTGCTTATAAATTTGGCTTTAGAGACGTTTGGTGAATAATCAGCTGTATTTATGCTACCAAAATACCCTGACACACCTTAGTTAAGATACAAATAAAGGTCCAATCTCTCGTACCCTTTCTCAGAATAGCAATCTAAACGGCTCTACAACAGTGTATTGCATTTCAACTGAATACCTGTGTCAACAAAGCAGCGTATAATAGAAAAGCCTTACGAATAGTGCGAGTCGAGATTCCAATTAAAAATTGTACCCACTTGAGATATGTAAATATTTACTCTTTTAATAGCTTTGTTAATTACAGAATAGATACAGCGACGATTTTAAAAGAATTCACTTTCTGGTTCCAAACATATACTATCTGATGAATTGTTCATTGGTAAAATCAATTAACTGTTTGAGCTCTTGTAGTAGAATAGACCTATGCATTTAGTTTATCTCATTTCTATATGAACACAATGTTTTGATTTAGCTGAAAACAGGAGACACAAGAGTTAAGAGTTTTCTTAAAGTGAACAATAAATAATTGCCAAGGCGATATCTTTTGACTTCTCTGTTTCTTTAATATATTTTCATTAAAACTATGGCTTTGGTTTTTCAATTGACCATGTTAAGTTCTAGTTGCGATTTCAACATTCAGGTATGTGCACTCAAGGCATGGAGAGGATTGTTATAAAAGGCTTGACTTCTACGTATTAAATTACCTGCTTTTGATGTATTGGATGTAGATGGAGTTGCGACGGGTCGACATACATTCCCATTTATAACCATTGCAGCCACGTTCCATCAATATTGAAGAATAAGCTACTTAAGGGCACTACAGTGTTTGCACTTTCATTATCTGATGTTTTCATTAGGTCTTCATAATCAAGGCAATAAAATTGACTATCCTCCACGTTTTGCAGGGTCTCGGCCTCGTTCTCGCGGGAAGAAGCCAGACTTGGAGGTACTGTGTGAATTCCCTCCTCGCGCACCCTCGGCTCTCCCCGACCGTCTGGTGAAGAGTCCTACATTTATCAGTGAGAAGACGTACAAACCTTACAACAGTAAGAGACCTTCCACTTCAAGAACCTACCTTAGTTCTCTGTCCAACCATGTGGACATTAAGCTTCGTGATTCAAAGGAGAAGGTCACTCCAGTAAAGTCGTCCCTGGTGGACATGGAGCCTGCGTTTGTGGACGTGTCTAAAGACATTCCAGGTCTGACTGTTTGGAGATTAGAGGTAACTATGCAATCCTTCTTACTATATGAAGTCTAGAGGTAGCTATCAAAGTCCTTTACTGATAAACAAAGACGTTCCTGATCTGACTGTTTGGAGATTAGAGGTAACTATTCAATCTTTTACCGAAAAACAAAGACGTTTCTGATCTGACTATCCTGTAGACTAGAGGTAACTATCCAATCCTTTTCTGATAAGCAAAGACGTTTTTGATCTGACTGTCTAGAGACTAGAATAAACTATCCAATCCTTTACCGATAAATAAAGACCTTGCAGGTCTGACTGTCTGAAGACTAGAGCTAACTATCCAAGTCCTTTACTAATAAACAAAAGACGTTCTTAGTCTTACTCTCTGTAGACTAGAGGTGACTATCCAAGTCCTTTACTAATACACAAAAGACGTTCTTGGTCTGACTGTCTGAAAACTAGAGCTAACTATCCAAGATTTTACTAATACACAAAAGACGTTCTTGGTCTGACTGTTTGGAGACTAGAGCTAACCATTCAAGTTCTTTACTGATAATATTTCATTGGATTACGTATTAAGTAGAACAAAGGAAAGGTAATGGAGACATATTATACAACCTCAATGAATCACTAGTAATAAACATTATAATACTCAAAAAGGCAAACTCAGATTATTCCTAAGAAGTATCAACGACCTCATTGGGACTCAAATAAACTGTAATGGGATCATTTCATTTTAATTATTTTAGGGGAAGTCACGACTGGTTGAAATAGATGATAGAGATATCGGGTTCTTCCACGAGGGGGCGGTGTACATCTCACTTCAGGTTAGACAACTCTTCAGAAACCGATTAATAAAGTCAGTCTAAAATTGTTCTGTGTGTTCGTAACATTGTTCTTGATGTTCCTGAGCATGTTAAATACTTTACTTCCAGATCAACGATGATGAAGAAGCGTTTCTTCACTACTGGATTGGAGCTTTTGCAAGTGAGGTATGCTTGGTCGAGAAGATAGCTATATTTTGTGACCAGTACTTGTTCATTTAAAATTCTATTTCTGAAAAGGTGAGTGATTTGTAATTTTTCTTACTTTTGTAGGATCATAAGTCATTAATAGAGGAAAAGGCACACGAGTTGGATCGGATCGTGACCCATGCGGCTGTGTTTTCTAGAGAGGTAAGTGTACTAAGCCATGTCACTTTACATCAGTTTTGACCAATTATCTTTTTGAATAAAGTTAAATAAATGTTTTGTGTTGTTGATTTAATACCAATGATGATTGAAGAGATAAATTAACCTGTCTTTCGTTATTCAGAGCCAATGCCACGAATCGCCTTGCTTCATGCGTCTCTTTGCAGATGGCATCGTGTATGTGTATATTCTAATAATTGACTTTCAAAAAAAGCATGAAATAGAGATGACATTTTACAATTCTGTCTTGTACATAAATAACATTGCATTTTTACTTTGAACTACAGATATATTGAATCCAAACCCAAGACAACCGTCAGTAAGGCTAGAGTCTATGCCAAGAGAATGTACCGCATCTCTGGTAGGAAGTTCATCAGGGCTGCTTGCGTAAGTAGGCGATTTTTAGTTACTATAGTACTAGTTATGCATTAAAAGATTCATGTCAAATAAGTTCGTCCGAATTCATGCAAACATATGGACAAAGAAACATAATAAATTAATAATATGTTATATTTCGTACAGACGGAGCCGTCGCTGGACGCTTTGGATTCCGGAGCCGCCTGTATTCTGGACGGATTCCCACGGATGTACGTCTGGATTGGAAGACACTGTAACTACGCACTCCGAAACAAGGTACAAGTATAGGAAAACCGCAAAGATTATTAATGGATTGTTTTAAGGATATGTACACGATGTAGTACATTATTCTTTATATAAATATGTTTAAATAATGTTCTTTACATGTACAGGCAATTCAAACGGCAAAGAGAATAAGGAATTTACAAAGACAGGGCGTTGCCCATATTATTGTTGTAGGTAAGGATATTTGTTAACCCTAACAAATCCGTTATTTTTTCTCCACATCTTTCATTGAATTTTATTAACTATGCGTCAACTTAAAAAAATTCGGATACCTTAGGTTATAATGAAAACCATGAAAAAGAATGATATTAAACTGTAGTATCATAATGAGGATACTCTTGAAAGAAGCTCAAAATACATAATTTATATTACAGACGAAAGGGATGAAGGGATGAGTGAAGCCTTCAAAAAGAAACTCCATAAAAGCCTGCAGACCGAGCCCTGTATTCCCGATAGCCCGCTCCAAGACAACGCAGCAATGAGGATGCACAGGTTGGAAGTCTGATCCCAATTTTGATTTCGACATTCATGTACTAGTATACTGTAACATTTTGTTGATACATGTTTAATACATAAATTGCAGAGTTAGTGGTGATCACGTGATGTATAACATGCCGGAAGCTGCTAAGCCCCCGTTTTACCAGAGATACTTGGTCCAGCGGGTGAGTTGATTTCTTCGATCATAGATAAATATTGGGACCAGTCTGGATTGCCACATGATACATTTTACTTTGCTTATCTTAGGACTGTTACTTGCTGGATCGTGGCCCCGGACTACCTCTTTATGTCTGGGTAGGGGCCCAGGCTCATGAGAATGAAATACTCTACGCAATTAAGAGGGGAAAGGTAATCATAATAAGCTTTATAGAATTTTTGTATTCAATTTTAGTGACATAATAGATCCAGCTTTAAACTGTAACAATATGCTAGATATCTCTAAAATGTTCAGATGATGGTATAAATCCCTTTCTTATGTGGTTGTACTTACTTTTTACTCTAGACGTTCTGTAAACACAAACAATACCCGGATGTAATCCCAGTATGTAGGATATCAGACGATGCTGAGCCTAATGATTTTAAGAAGAACTTTTATGATTGGCGGGAAAAGGATACGAAACATAGACAACTGACCAAGCTATACAGTATTGGGAATATAGGTAATGAATACTCAGTACTTAAAAAGATTATAAAATTTTGATAATGTTTGAATAAATAACTGTTACATGGATTTGAAATTTTTAACTATATTTGCAATGAATTTGTTTTCTTTTCCTTGTAGAGCGAGCACTGTTCTCCAGGCGAGACAAACGAACTGTGGCCAAAAAGAACGAGCTGTGGTCAACGGACAATTTACCGGACGGCGAGGAAGATACAGAGGTGAGGGAGTACAAAACATTACTATCACATTAATTATAACCTAACATCGAGTGTTACTATTCGAACACATCTGAACTATTTTCTTAGATATGGAAGATAGATGGGGATAAAATGATAAAAATGGAGAATGATCAGCATGGAATTTTCAACAATGGTCACAGTTATGTTGTACTTCATCGTATTCGGGTCGAGGGACGGACACAACAAGTGTTGTACTACTGGCTGGTGAGTGAATCTGTCTTTAAAAACACCTTTATTACTGAAGTACTATACGAGTTAATACAAAGAAGTAATGTATTTCATCCGTAATGTTTCATTCATGTTCTCACAGGGTTGTAAGTTGACGAATGATGACCAGGACAGTGTTCTAGATTTGGTGCTATCCATGAACAAAACGTTAAATAACCAATGTATTGTGGTAAGTACCACTGCAGCAGGAAACATTTTATCAAAACTACATGTAAGCAAGACTGTCAGTATTTCTTTTAATTCAATTGGATATATGCCTTTTTTTTTTTTTACAGATACGAGTACTTGATGGGCGGGAACCACCGCACTTCATGTATATTCTTGGAAACTGCCTGATAATCGTAAGTGTCTGACTGCATCCCGTATGAATCATGACAAATGATATGCTGATTTTATACAGTACATAGCAATTCTAAAATGGACTGTAAATGATATTTGTATATTGAAAGGTCACAAATAAATAACCAATATACTATTACTCCGTGAGTTTTTCTTTTTTATATACTATACTTGGCGAGTTTTTCCTTTTAATATACAATTACTACCGTGAGTTTTTTTTTCAAAAGTTTTTCAATACATTTCATTTTTTCAATAAAAATCTTACATATTTCTGTTTATAACTACTGTTTTAGCATGATAGAGATCTTGGAGATCCCAGTGATGTTCAGACGAGCCGGATGTTCTGTGTGCGTGAGCAGGATCCAGAGAACAGCAGTATGAGAGTACAACAGGTGGTTGTTACGATACATTGATTAAAATATGTTAAAACACTGTCAATCATGCATATGAAACAACTTAAATGTAATATTAAATGCATCTACATGTGTATTATATAAACATGTATATATTAACAATACTTAACTTAGTTTGCATCCATTAAAAAGATATGTTAAATCTGAATTAGGTCCCCGTTTCTTCTGCTTCTCTGAATTCATCGGCTGCTTTTATCCTCCACAACCCTCCTGATGGCTGTTTTTTGTGGTATGGACAGGTAGGGACAATTGAACATGTCATTAAATAATTATACATAGTGTGTTTATAATTTTCTGCTTAAATATTTACAGGTATTTTGTTTCCAATGTATTCTCAACATCGATCAGTTTAATACAGAAAAATTTTTATCAGAATAATTTTTTTTTGATATTTTGATAGAAATCTCGTGGTTCTGAAAGAGAATATGCAAAGCAAATTACGGGATATATTTCGCCAACCTTTCGATAAAATAGTTAACTTTTAATTGACATGTTTAAGCTTTTCTTATGTGCCACCTATTCTTTAATTTGGTACATTGTTTCATGCAATATTAGGGTCCCGGATTTACATACACATTTACATACTTGTAAATTAAATAATCAGTTAAAATCATATTCAGTGTTCATGACAATATATTTTTAGATTATAATATATACCTTAAATTTATTCTCAGCTGCCAAATTTTATAATAATTTTAAGAAGACATACAGTTTGAAAGACTTAACAATTATTTACGATTCAAATATAGAGGAAACATTTTGACTTACTGTCTTTTCAATATTATAGTAAATATGACTATCTCGTCATGACGGAAGGCAAAGAGAGTAAAAACTTCTGGAACCTGATTGGTAGAAAACAAGAATATCCTTCAGAATTTAAAATAGAGGTAAAACAAAATTCGTTGAAAAAAGAACAAGAATATTGGAATATTCCTCTGAGTTTGACAGCATAGTTCACCATAAACCTTTTGAAGCTAAACATTTTTATCGTATTTGTATACATACTGATATCAGGTTTTGGACCGAAGACCTCCTCGATTACTCGTGTGCAATGTAAATGGCGATAATACTACATTTGAAGCTATTGAAGACTTTAAACAAGAGGTTTGTTTTCAAAACACTGCCACTTTCTAATAACATTTTGTTAAAAAATTCAGTTAAAATTCTTTTATAAGTCCTACCTTTCTTTCTTATCACTGCTTGTGTTTGGTATTATCTGTGATAGGACCTGTGTGAGGATGAGATTTTCGTCCTAGACTTGTATGACCAAATTTATATCTGGAATGGTGCAGAAGTTGAAAGTGAACTGCAAAAACAAACTCCAAACTGCTTCAAGGTTAGAATCTTTTATTTGGTGTATTTTTAACGGGAATATTGTACGGCGAGTCTAGATATAAGTAAATAGAATAAATGCTGAGTTTCAGTTTTCCTTATTTTCCTAGTGCTACTTCCAGTCTGATCCTGCAGGAAGGTCAGATGAGACTGTTAATGTCTGGTTCCTGACACAGAATAACGAACCCGATGCCTTTACCAAATTTTTTCCTTACTGGATAGAAAACGGGACTTCGGTATATATTGTTCAATTCAAATCAAATCCATTATAAAATGTATTGGTTTTAAACTATTTCAAGGGCATATAATTCTGATTTAGTCACTCTCTGTATAGATAAATTTTATAATTATTACTGAATTTTGCATTTTTATTGGAAGTCAATTACTAGCACTGCAAAATACAAACTTGTTTCAGTACCAATTTTTTCTATTTCACAGGGACAGCAGTCTTATGAATTGTGTAGGAAACTAATTCGACAAGAGAATTTTAAAGTGGACATTGAAAAGCCGGTAATATATTTATAAAAAATTTCGAATTTTTAGCGTCTTGTGTAGTTTGCATGTAGTAGAATTGTAAATATTGTTGATCCTTTTTTTAAATGTGTATAACAAGATGGTGGATCGATCATATGTTGGAAAGAAAAAGTACGCCTACGAAGATTTGCTGAAAAAGAAACTTCCTGAAGACGTTGATTCTCAGCACAAAGAGGTAAAAACAGAACTGAGAAACAAAATAAAACTTGTAAAGATATATGCATCGAAATCATTTTTATTCTTCTTCTTCACGAAATATTATTTGCAGTGAAATTTCTCTCATTTTTATTATTGTAGTATAATCTTTGCGACTATGAGTTTAGAGACGCATTGAAATACCCACGTGATCAATTCTACCGACTTCCGCTTTGGAAACAGGAACAGCTATTCAAGTCCGCTCGACTTGGACACACCAGGACTACGGAAAATCCCTACAGATTACGAATAGAAAGCCCAGATCTACACAATCAGTAATAAAGATCTTGTTCCTTCCACGACTTTGCGTTTATTTATTATGCTTAATATTTATTATAAGACTTGTTATTGTTGTACATGTTTTAGAGACATGAAAAAAAATATAGAAAATAAAAACTGATAAATTCACGCATTCTCTTTCTTTTTTTAAGGTGTAAAATATTCAAAAAACGTATAATTGAAAAAATAAAACGATTTAATCTTTACTGTAAATCTAGATCATGACAGGTTCAATATCGACTTTTATTTATCTGAAGGATGTTTCAGGTCTAATCTGAACCCCGAATCTTTGCAAGGGGTGACACCTAAAGTTCAGTGACTAACAAAAACTATATTAACCAACTTTTGTTATTATTAAAAATATTTTCATTTCACTTACATACATGTATGATGAGCGCTTTGTGAGTTATTTAAATCAGTGAAAACCTTTCGCGCTCCTAACCCCCCTCCCTTAAATATTTGGGTTTAAATTTTCGTCAGTCATCAATCTTTTGATCTCGTCCCCTGTTTATAAAATCACAGTATATTGCTTTGCCATGTTTTTGGCTATTTCTCCATGCAAATATTTTTATTTCAAGTTTTCTTTAAAAACAAAAAAAAAACCATTATAATTAATTAAAGTACATGTACTGGTATTTTTTCCCGTAATGCCAAATCACAAAATCTTTTTATGAATATGCAAAGTTATAAATTGTTCACAAATATCCTATTTGAATTGGAACACTGTACAACTTTTTCATGAATTTTCACCAAAAGTATTCGGTAACCAATTAAATCTAGAATCCAAATTTAATTGGATGGTCATTGATAAACTCTTTTATTCCTAGGATATGTGCACATCATATAACATTCCAAAGTATATAGAGAATATGCCGATAAAGTGGACAGCTTTGTGACACACCTTGAATGGTTTATGATCGGAGAGCAGTCCTCACGGACACGCTAAGGTCGCTGTCAATCACCTGTCAAAAGACATCCCGGAAACAAAGGGCGGCTAGCACTACACAGAAGTTCAATACAGGTGTTTTGAACCAAAAATAGCGCTTTTGCAGCCATTGTCTTACAGTAGACTTAATGGACACTTTCATCTGCTTACAGACTAGTCCCTACTATCATTTTTCTTCCTCCAAGTCGAAAGTTCTCTCATTGCAAAATTCAACTTCCACACTGCACCATTCTCGAAAAGCAACTTTTATAAGAACTTTGGCCATTCTCGAAAATAACTTCAATCAGAAGTTTCACACACTAAAGAAATTGTTCTTTCAAAGGAGTACACGCATCCCAGCGAAATTTAACGCCGTTTATCACATTCCCGTTTTCAAGACCCAGTGCCTAATCGATGTAATCTCTGATAAAGAGAGAACCCAATCACGCAGAAAATAAAAAAGAACATGGACAAGGTCACTATAGTAAACCTCCTTGTGCAGGATTCGTCAGAAATCATGGTCTCCAGCTGTTTGGAAACTCGTCTGCAGCAGCGCCCGAATCCGGCGTGAATAGGAACGTTCAGTTCCTCGCTCATATTCAACAAACGGGAGCAGCATGTTCCTCTACAGATTTGGAACGATCCGCGAGAATCCCTGCGTACAGAGGAGTACTGATAGGATGTGGAGCCAGGGATTTGCTTGCTAGACGTCATCAGTTGCCCACCCAGTAGAGCTGAGGGTCGTCGTCTGCCACTGAAATGCTGCAACACGTCCTCTCCCGCCATCCCCATACTGGATCTTCTGCGTTTCAGGATGTTGTCATCCGTGTTGATATTGACGCTAGAGCGACGACGCTGGAGAAGAATATTCGGATTTCTCATGTTCAGCGACCGTCTGTCTCCAAGCCTGTCGCGTGCTTGTGTAAAACAGCGAATATCGAAAAGAGCCCTGTCGTAAAAATGTCTTCCTGAAAAAAAACCGAGAGATCCGCTGTCAGAAAATAACGTCCGAGACCAGCTGACCATAAGAGGCATTGATATACAAATGAACCTTGTGTTACTCCATTCCATATGATTTTATTAGTCATTTATCACTCATATCATTTCCATACACTGCTTATTAAACATGAATGAAAGTTTCACCAATCTGTATAAGCTTTAGTGTAAGATGAAACGAAGTGCAATTTAGATCAACCTTAATCGCTGCAGTGTGACGTAGTCGTGTTGCATTACGAATTTTAAAATCCTTGAAAATTGAAAAATAATCAATGAAACACCAGGGAATTCTTCGTCAGCTTGCTATGCATAGGCGTCGGAAGGAAATTGAAAGTGGGGGGAGGGCTTCGTCAACTATATATGTATATATTTGCACCTGAATGCTTATGCTATGAACTACCTGAATGCCTGCCTTAATTTAGTGAAATACTGTTAACACGGTAAAGGTATCTGGAAAATAATATGGATAATACACAATGCGCCTCTATAAAGTATTGGTGAACTGAACCACGATTGGACGGAATGCTATCCCACCTCTCTCTAACAGTTGATATGGATTCACTTTCTTTTATTATCATGGTAATAAAAATGAAATATTCATTAGAGATGTTATGTACAATATACAAAAATTCAATGTTCTTTTGTGTCTTTTGCCACTTACAGTTAACCTCACATCCTATATAATAAACCGAGCTCTCTGATAAAAAGAAAAACATATCACACAAAAAATTATTATTCCAAGAACGATAGAGAAAATGGTAAACCGCCGCGTGGAATCCTCGTATGTTGGATTCTGTGACTTAGTGGGGATCGAGGTCAGATCTCTGTCGTCCAGGGGGTCCCCGAATATCGACGATTTCCGGCGGGAGAGGTTAAGTCTGTCTTGGATCTGGTGTCTTTTGTAGGCAGACGAAGAACTGGATCGACGGGACCTCCACATTATAGAAAAACCTGTAACATTGGACGCCACATTATAGAAATACCTATAACATAGGACTGACACATTATAGAAAAACCTGAAACATTGGAGCGCCACATTATAGAAAAACCTATAACATAGGACCGCCACATTATCAGTAGAAATACCTGTAACATAGGATCGCCACATTATAGAAATACCTGAAACATTGGAGCGCCACATTATAGAAATACTTATAACACAGGACCGCCACATTATAGAAATACCTGAAACATTGGAGCGCCACATTATAGAAAAACTTGAAACATTGGAGCGCCACATTATAGAAATACCTGTAACATAGGACCGCCACATTATCAGTAGAAATACCTGTAACATAGAAGCGCCACATTATATAAAAATACCTATAACTCAGGACCGCCACATTATCAGTAGAAATACCTGTAACATAGGGCCGACACATTATAGAAAAACCTGACACATTGGAGCGCCACATTATAGAAAAACCTATAACATAGGACCACCACATTATCAGTAGAAATACCTATAACATAGGACCGTCACATTATAGAAATACCTGTAACATAGGACGTCCACGATATAGAAATACCTGTAACATAGGACCGCCACATTTTAGAAATACCTGTACCATAGGACCGCCACGATATAGAAATACCTGTAACATAGGACCGCCACGATATAGAAATACCTGTAACATAGGACCTCCGCATTATAGAGATACCTGTAACATAGGACCGTCACGATATAGAAATACCTGTAACATAGGACCGCCACATTATGGAAATACCTGTTACATAGGACCGCCACGATATAGAAATACTTGTAACATAGGACCGCCACATTATAGATTGACCCAGAGATAATTTCTGTATAATTTTTTTTGCCACATTATAGAAATATTTGTAACATATTTCCGCCACATTATAGTAATATCATGTGTTGGTGTAACATAGGAACGCCACATTATAGAAATACATGTAACATAGGACCGCCACATTATAGAAATACCTGTAACATAGGGCCGCCACATTATAGAAATAACTGTTACATAGGACCGCCACATTATAGAAATAACTGTAACATAGGACCGCCACAAAATATAAATACCTGTAACATACATTAAGCAGTCAGGATTTTTTTTGTCTGAAAAGCCTACCGTAGAAAGGAATTTGTTCTATGTTTGAGATACGATGTTCTTTTAAAAATGTGGAGATGTGAAAAATTAGGTACAATGTCTTTTAAGCACTAGCGATAAGTTGATCTTCAGACCGAACTAAGTACAGAAATGGAATATTAGGAATTGATTGGTTATTGTTTACACCCTTTGTGAAGTTGCATACATCAAATCATCATCTACCTGTAAGAACAGCGAAGTAAGGCGATGTACCCAATAAATTAAGAATTGTTTACATGCAGTCAGCATTTTTATCTGAAAAGCCTACCGTAGAAAGGAAATTGTTCTATGTTTGAGATACAATTGAGATAAAAGTTTTTTCACACTCTTTTTAAAAGAATTGATTGATTATTGTTTTATACCCTTTGTGAAGTTGCATACATCAGATCATCATCTACCTGTAGAAGCAGCGAAATGGGGCGATGTACCCCATAAATTAAGGATTGTTTACATGCACTTAGAAATAACAAATAAATAGGCGATGAATACCACCATACATGTATTTTTTTAATATGTATTGCCTTTTCAGAAACACGGGAAAATATTTAGATATTAGATACACCAAATGTTAAGTCAGTTCTATGAACTCAAGTCAAATTTAAATACTTAAGTATTTGAGAAACCTTTGAACATCTGTATATACCAAAAGTCTTTATTGTAGGTTTTACATGATTGTTATGCTGGTGTTCTTCAAAATATGACTGTCCCTTTTTCTATACAGTTGTAAAATGTTTATGCAAATATTATGTCATGTGTACTGTACCTCCGAGGATTTAATATATATCTTTATATTCCTCAAGTACAGTTATGTTTGGTTTGAGGGAAGTAAATAGGTGCTAAATCTAATTCCGATGAGAAATTTAATAGTGCGTGGTATTTTATTATTTGTGACAAATAAGAATCTTCAGATATCACGAAGAATAAAGTAAAGCATCTGTTGCAAATGAATTCTATGTCTGCAGATACAGTTTGATTGTATTATATAACATGAACAAGTCAGGTGGGCATCTACGCATGATTTTTGAAAATTTCTCTAAAAAACAAAATTATGTTAAAAAAATATCTTTGGGGTATACATGAAGATTGCAAAGGTTGTGCAGGTTAATGCTAATATCATAATAAGAGTGCACTTTGTTTGTGTTGTTTCTAAAATTGTACGTAACTTAGACGTGTTGTCTACAGTTTACAGAGGGAGAAAATGTATTTCAGTTTTTTAAACATCGAACAAAATCATTTTATTAACATTATTCTTCAATTAGAGATTTTTCTTAATGAAAATGAAAAAAAAAATTCATGTTATCAAATTTACCATGAATGTATTGAGTTTTTCTGTTCTTAAACAGGACACACATATGCAAAATATGCGACTGAAGTTAAAAAAAATGTTTTACGAAATTTCACCTAATTATATTGGTTATCTTATGCCACTAATGAATCAAATATAATTAAACAATTCAACATCTGATTTCCCCCCATATTAAATAGATTGCCTTAAATATGTCGAGAATTTCGCAAACTTCTATAGTATCAAAAAAAAATTAGGTCAAAAGTTTTCTGTACCTACCTTAAATGGTATTTCCTTGGAGATGCTGACCAGTAGATGTTGTTTTTTAGGACGTCTCTATAATCCATTGAAGCAGGGCAGACATTGTGCTCACTTTGTTTTGATTTCTCAACATCCGTCTATTCCTGATGAATCTGTACTCTGTTTCGCCAGGAGTAACAATTTATTATCGATTAGTTTATGTAAAGCAAAATCATTAAACCGTGATCTTGTATTCCTTAATCACTTTTGATCGATAAATTTTTAAAATCTGAAACATTGATGTGGAAAAAAGGATTTTATTTCCGTCTGACGTTAACATTCAACTACCACCAACGCAACAGAAGAAGATAAAAAATAAAATCGGATTCAGTAATTGAGTTTTGATGTGCTGCATTGCTCTTCTCGTGAAATCAAAAGAATCTCTTGACATTACTGACACCGGTGCTGCTTTCTTTATTAGTTTAATTTAAGTGCCTTTTGTTGTGAAGAAACTTCTACAGTGTGAATTTTACCAGATTTAGAGCTTCTAACAGCACATAACTCAGGCCCATTGCAGTCATTGTTAACAGTACGTGAAGAGGAGAAAGTCCCTCAAAGCATACAGTTATGAGAGAAAATCAGCAATCAAGGACATGATAATGAAGAGAATAATAATCATAGACCTAAGAATAGTGTCGTCTTAAGAGAGAGAATTACAATATTTAGGGCATCTAAGATTCCTGCGAGGGATGTTGGTAAATTTACACGCACCTATTCTAATTTCGATATATATTAATCTTTGCTCAGAAGCTTTAATCACAGATAGCACTATGCCATTTGTTTGAGTTTCAATTTGCCCTTTTATTGATTTGTTTAGAATTCTAAAATTTCACTCAGTTTTAATATGATTTTATCATCAAATAACATTTATTTAAAAACTTTAAATATCTTTGTTATTCATTTGTAAATCGTTAATGCACGAATTCTTGCGAGTATAAAAAAATGCAATATCCATGTGCTTTCTAAAGCAAAGGCAAATTGTCTGAGAATTAATTTTAAACAAGAAGGCAGGTCCTTTCTTTGCTTTTATTGCATGAAATATTTTACTGATTATAACTGCAAAAATCAATTTCTGTTCCTCCCATATGTTTTACAAAGACGAAAGCACACAGAATCAAAAGCTATATAATTACCCCCGGCAGCAGTTCGTGCATTCATATCACCACATATCACGATTTCACCTTATTTTTGATATTGTGTCCACCCGCCTCTATTATTTCAAAAATTATCATAATTAAGGTATAAATAATATGCCGAATCGACGGGTGTTATTTAACATGAACAAAGATATTATTGTTATTACGAAGATGAAATTAACTCCCTTTAAAAATCATTATAAAAGTCTTTATATTAAATGAAATATTTGGAGATAAAGTGGGAAAGTATTCAAACTCTAAAGCCCATTCAAACAATACAAATCAGGAGCAGAGTAAACACAGAGCTAAAAAAAATCAGAGGTGGGATCAGGTGTCATGGAGGAGCGAGCATCGCTTGACGAAACGTCACACCCACTTCGTGTGCGCCCCGTCATAATGGGGGAATTACCCCTCCTCCCCCCCCCCCCAAAAAAAAAAAAATTAAAAATCCGTATATACAATTCAGTGTGTAAATAATGGCAAAACAATCAACATGAAAAACGTCAAACAGCATTTGATTCATGATAAATTATATTTACTTTGTATTATCTTAATGCAATTTTTTACGGAACATCCCACAATCTCCCATTGAAGATATGTGTTTACAAACATGGCGCAGTGGTTAGAGTGTCTGTTGATAACCTCGAGGTGAAAAGAGTTGATCCTTCGCGGTTTCGAATCCCGCTGAGGGACGTGGAGACCGGTTCTTCGTATAAGACCGTTAAAAAACCACGCTCTCTGGTTGCAGTAGGTATACTAGCAGGAAAATGATCGCTCGCTAGTCAATGGCCCTGAGTGCCGAATATAGGTCTAAATTGGAGTAAACAGCCCCTGTAGCTCAGTCACACACCAAGTAGACGAACATTCCATACTCAAAAACAAAAGTGTATCAATGGTATGGAACAAATCAACCAATTTCGATCCAAGGGTACGTTACGTTTGCTAACAATGTATAGAATTATCAAAATGTTGACTTCAGACAAGGTTGCAGATAACTAATGACCAGACAAGTAGGTAGATTTACGAGTTTTAAGAGTTCCATTTTTATCGGCAAAAGCAAAAGTCATAAATGATGTTAATAAGTCTCGACTTTAATTTATTGTGGCAATCGGATATTGTAATATAGTTTTGATACTAAATATTTTTGATTTTGGTAACATTTTGTGATTTCAAATATTCTAAAAGTTCCTTGGAAATAAATTTGAATAACACCACATCTCGAATATATTGATCCACACTACTCCTAAAAGTTTCTTCTTCACTGCTGTTAATTGTTTGTTAATTTTAAACAATTAAGCTACTGATGGATGAGTTGATTTTACAAGAATTTTAACAACCCCTTTAAAGTCAGCATTTCGTAAATTCTAAAGCAAAAAATTCTATTAAATATAAATAATTTAATTTTATTTGTATTCTCGCCTCTCATTGGTTGATTACCAAAAAGGAACGCATAACATTTTGTATAATCTGGTTTGGTAAATATAAATATTTCCAATTGAAAATTCCTTTTAAATGTACCTTCAACTTTAATCAATTACTCGTTCTTACCTCATGTAAACAAACATCATGGCTGCTATCTATGAATCAGTCATTACCTCCCCTCGCTTTCACTTCCGTTACTACGGTTGTATATAATAAATTTGAAATTATAAAAAGCAACACAATTTTACATCAAAAGTTGTTTAATTATTTTAAAATAAATATAAGGAATGACTTTAATTCTTGGCCATATTATCGAGTATAATCTGGTTTGGGTCAGTTTACGCTTTTTTATAATCCGCTTCAATAAATTGAAACCTTTTATTGGATTGTATTTTGAGTTTTTGACTGATATAATTCGCACCAATTGTTAGGACCCTGTTATTAATACTATACTGCTCTACGAATATATCGTCCACCTATCAATTCATATGGCCCACTATTCGTGGAGCGGTCGAGAGGAGATGCTTACCCCTCCATAGCACCTGATCCCATAAGGTTCATGTATTTCATCTGCTCCCAGTCTGTATTATTTCAATGGAGTTTTGTGTTTCATTACTGTTTTGGTATGTTCATATTTCATTTAATTTTTTCTTTCTTTATTTATTCTTTTCTCTCTCTTTTTATTGTTGTTCAAGATGGATTATGGAAGAAATATGGATTCGGAAGAAGTAAGTTGTAATTTGAATTATCTTTCTTGCGGCATTTGCAAAATATTACGTGGATAGAGCTTCTATATAACAGACATTTAGAAATCATATCTTTAAGACAAGAAGAAGGATATAACTTTAGAAATAAACTGACAGGGCATTGAGTTTTACTTTTATACATGATCGTATAAATTTAACTTTAATGTTTGTAATATAATACACTTAGTAGTAAGTATCAGTCAGTAATATGATAGACTAGTATCTTTCTGCAAATAAAATTTAAATCATATTGATATTGCATGTCAGCTTGTTTCTTCTGCTTTTATTTTAGTCATTCGAACATTGAAAATTCGTAAATTCTATTGATGGCATGCTATGAAGACTTGATTAGCATATTTATACAACCTAATATCATTGTGTAACATTTTGACTGATATATCTCAGTATGTGTGTAATATACGCATGAAAGATTTTTTTTTTCAAAAGAATCTTCTCCAAACTGTAAGGTCAGGTTATTCACTGTATTTTCAGAATCCTCGATTTATACATGTAATTAAAACATGTAATTAAAAACTATGCTGCAAGAAAGATATACCGGCCCCAGATATATTGTTGCCGAAGATAGCAATGGTCCTCCTAAACGTTGCTTTATTTCGAACAGACAGACATGCTTGTGTTTCAATAATTGTCACTCAAAAGTCCATTCATACAATACAAAATCAGGAGCAGGACCAACACGGACCTCAAACAATATAAGAGGTGGGAGCTGGTGACATGGAGGGATATAAGCATACCTTGTCCACCGGTCACATCTGCCGTGTGTTACTTGTCATTTTCGGGGGAAAAGGTGAATCCATAGACAATTCGGTGTGTAAATAATAGTCTAATAATTAGTTTGAAAATCGTCAGTCAGCATTCGACTTAAAATGTCAAATTGTATTTGGTTACAAGGTCATTGTATCGACCATAGAACTTTCAAAATTGGATGTCTTTAAACGAGATTTTTGATATTGTAAACCATTTTTTATTCGCGAGAAAGTGTGCTCGTATATAACTATTCAAAAAGAATACTTGTATATAAACTGATAGCCTCAGTTCGTGAAAAGTTTGTTTCGCTTATTAAAAGTAAATGGACATTTCGCCAAAATAAGGTGCTGCGAAAATTTAGTGATCTACAGTATTCTTATTTCATGAACGTGTTTGTCTGTAGCTCAATTACCTCATTTTACAAATTGTTCGTATATCTATTAATCAACAGGAAGTCATAACCACAATAAGCTGTTGATAGGGTATATTGCGACATAAGTAAGGAAAACTGACGATAGAAAAGTTGAAGTCATCATGCTTATCATAAAATTTTGTTGATACACTGTACCATTAACATCTTTTTTTTATTGCAAGTAAAATACGCAAATATGAAACCGATGTGTCAGACTCTGTGGTATCTTATATATCAAGCTCATCGGGATATATCGAATTGAAGTATGAATAACTTTACGTCTTCGATATAATATTATTAAGAAACAAGTCAGCTTAACTTCGATCCAGTGATGGGTTACATTTGCTTACAAGGTCACCATAACGATCATAGAATTTACGACATGTTGACTTCAGACAAGGTTACAAATGATTATTGAAAAGGGAAGTTCATTTACGAATTTTATTTTATTGCAGCTGTCAATGATTTTAAAAAAAGTCTGGACTTAAATTTATCACGCGGAATGATTATATGCGAGGGTTGTTCAATAAATAATATCCTCGGTGCTCGGAAAGAAACAAAAAAAACCGCTTTTCAATGATTAATATTTAGTCTTAATGATTTCAATTAAATGTTCTTTTATAATTAAAACATATGTCCGCAACAATTTCTGCATGATTGTTTTTAGAACACATTTTTGTATATGGCAACTATATACTAGTATATATAGCATACTAGTATTCAGATAGATATGGCAGATCCTTTGATTTCAT